TTTTAATATAAGATGCAACTATTATTGATAGACCATAACATCCAGCACTCTATACAATATTGAATTAACATTACTGCCAATTACAACTTTTAAATAGTTATTTAATACTTTCATTTACTTTTCATAAAGACGTATGGAGAGTAAAATGAATCATTTGTATTTAGAGAGGAAAAAACTATTATTCGATTTTATTGAACATATTATTACTTATAATGTGTTCGCATTTTAATACCTAAGTGAATTATGTAGGGACAATTTTGATTGAAAGATCTCGGGAAACGGTAGAAAGTAACAGTAGGAATAAAGAAGCGAAAGTACGTAGACTTAATAAACGAATCATTTCTTAATCATAATAAATATTGCAGTAGTACATACATTTTCAAACAACATTCTCATTTTTATTCATTATTTTTATAAACAAAAGCCTCAAGAAAAAAATAATAATGTCTAAATTCTTGTTTATTCTATTTAAAAAAGATATAAATTATAATTAACAATAAGTTTTAACAAATGTCTGTAAAATATTTGATTAGAATGACTTAAGAAGATCAGGACAACCTGGTTCAAAACTGATTGCTATTCGTTCATTAATGGAATCAAAATTAAATTGTATATCTATTCGTTCTTATTTTTGATTGATAAATAATTTTGTTATGTGAGGAATTAGATTTTGAACAACTCTTTCTATATTTAAATATTTGTCTACATAATCTAATAATTCTCGTCCTATATATTCATATCATCCATAGTATTTATGTCTTTTGTATGTTACTAGTGAAAAGAGATGATGAAATTTTGTTTCAAATGTTTTATAGAATTCGGAATGACATTCATTAGCAAACCGAAACGAATATATCGTTAGTGATTTAACGAATGTTCGATCAGCTGTGTAAAGCCAGATGAGAGAATGTGCCTCATTGTTACTGCGTACAATATCTCCATATTGCAGTTTATCTTCAATAATTCTATCAAATGGTATTGTAATATTACTTAATAATTGATTGAATAATAAATCGTAAAATCCTTGGTAATGATCATTTTCGTAATCCATTATAGCATCTTGAGTTTCTTAAATAGATAGTTGCTGATAAAATTGTTGTTTAGGCATCTTACTTCAATAGAATTCTCTGTAAATGAGAATAGAATTTGTATGAACTTATATAATATGAAAATAGGTTGAAATTTTTCAAGAAACTCATAATGGAAGAAATATTCAATAGCTCGCTTGGAAAAAACCATTGTCATGCCAACAAAAGTGATGTTTACATAATAGTCTTCTTTTTTCTCCAAAAGAAAAAAAAATTAATAAAATGACTAGTAAGCAAATAAATGTCAGCCGTAATCAATCGAATTGGATTTATTTTTATAGAAAGAAAGAAGCATTTGTTTTTCTGTCGTTTTTTTTTTCACCAAAAGAAATCTGGGAATAAGTATTATTATGTAGTAAGTGTTACGAGGTGAAAAAAACAGACGAAATTGATAATAAATTGGCTGAAAAGTGGTGAGTGTGGGTGTGGAGTGTTGGTGTTGGTATTCGCTTCTTCAACATCCACGCCGACGCCCAGACTCCGCATCCACGAATACCCAGCCACAGCCACAGCCACACCTATATCCTCTCTGATAATCTGATGCTAAATCTACATCTAAATAATGTCTCAAGTGTGTCTCATTTGTACATGATAAATATTAATACTTAGTCCTTGTCTTTTGTGATTGTTTTGATTCTGATGTAGATTGGCAACAAATATACATATTCCTATCGAAAGTCATGAGTCGATCTAAGTTAGATGCAGTTTATCTTAATTTACTTTTCGTTTCTTCCTATGTCCTCAGTGCTGTACTCATATTCGTGTTACTATTTATTTTGCATGAGTAGATTCAAAGACTTAGGTCAAAATTCCATCATCTTACTCAATCAGACTTTTACAATTTTTGAAAAACTTCTACTCTCGAGTTCAAACAAAACAATAGACATTGACTTCGAGCAACAGCGTTCCATCGACTGCAATTTTTTAAAAATGCACTCGTTGAATAATCATGACCATTTCTTCAACCATATATATTATTGTCTATAAAAAACGGTTTTTACAGTGACATTCATTGATTGGACGGTCGTACAAGAATCTCTCAACATATATACAAGAAAATAACTCGCTTCATTACTAGAACGAAACTTTTTGCATCGTTTGCAACAATTTGAATGTCTCACTTTAACTTTTGCAGCTTGAATCAATAGAAAAAACATACAGCTGAGAAAAGAATATAAAAGAGAAGACGTTTTAGAAATAGTGTCGTCTTCTGATTTTTTTAATATGCTGCCGAGCTCTTTGAGCTAGACAAACCAAAATCACTGTCTGCCATCTGGATAATTTCATCAGACGGTTGAAATCAAATCTGTTCAGATAAACATGGTTTGGCAATGTAATGATTATCACGTCTGCTTTACACGCAGAAGGTCCCAATTTGGAATATTGGTCAAATCATTTCCTTTTGCATCATTCTGCGAAATGTCACAATTTTCGTCTAGATTATGTCAAAACAACGACATTGAGACATTGATGAAAAAGTAACTGATCAAATATTACTTTTTAACTAATCCACATATAATCTACTGATTCAATTTCCACCAAATTAATTCTAATTCTATCATAGAAAAATCAATTAGCATAATAAATAACTTCAGACAATAATTCTCAGAATGCAGCTTGAAAGAACGAATTTCAACATGTTCATCAATCAAGCTTTTTTCCTTCTCTCGCGGCGGATTCGCGACAGATTTTAGAAAATACCATTCTAACAGTATTATAATTTGTGACAAATGTGGCTAAGGTTTTCGTTTAAGACTAAACTGACTCCATCATGCCTTATATTTCAATTCTGTAAAGATTGCACTAAAAGCTTTTTCTCATAGCAATCCTGGTCGATGATCAATTAGTAACCTAAGACACATACATGATTTCATATGCATCGTGGATTGTTATGTATGTATTCTTGTATAGAAGTTTACGTTAATCGTAATGGAATGGTCTATATAGGACAGCCATTTTTTTTATTTCATTTATATTTTTTGTAGATTAAGTTATCAATAAAATGGCGTAAGAAAATAAAACACCGATTGGCACATCTCTTTCCTAAATGACGCACATCATGTATATTGCTTGCATGTTACTACATTTGAGAGTAATATATGTCACATAATCAAACAATACAGCAATGCACTCATGAGTGAAGTGCCTGAAGTGTCCAAGTTCCTTTTCACTCATTCATTCCTCACTCGACAGAATATATCAAGATAAGAAAGAATCTGAAGATGATTCGAGCCCATGACCTAAATATGCTGAGTTCTGTCAATTGCACTGAATTTTTGACCTATTGTTAGAGATTGCAAAAAAATTTTGAAGATTCACAGAAAGCTCAATGTAAGAAAAATTGTACGTGAGTCGATATTGCATTGATTGAGTAGACCTTTTTCTTGCTTCTACAACATTATACATCTGTCAGCTCATCATGCCGTGTTGCTCATAGGCGCTGGACATTGATATATCTAAGTTTTGTGTGATTCAAAGTTGACACAGATCATCAAGGAATGTTGTATCAACCCGTAAAGTAGCGATATATAGTTGAAAAAAAACTAATGCAAGCAATATTTCTGCAGAAATATTTTTCTTACGCATAAACTTTATTGATTGAATTATTTGTTATTGTTCTATTGTCTTGCACCGAAATAAATAGCGCACGCAGAGTGTGACAAAGCGTATTTCACTCATTTCGAGAAACATATGTTCCTAAGTTCAAAGTTTCGAAAACGATTGCTTTTTCTAGAATATTCTTCTTTTCATGGCTCACTCGTATAAATAAACTTGAGGGATTTGTTTTGAGTCAAATGTTCATATTATCCTAGAACTGTTCAAGAGTTAAATTTCAAATGATACAATACAATGATTCATTTTCATAGGGTGTGGGTGTGGGTTTGAGTGTGGGGTGTGGGGGTGGGTGGGTGTGTGAGTGTGGATGATAATCTTCTTTTCGCAATCGTCGACACCCACCCACATCCACACCCTTTTGATGATGTGTTGCTGTTAATAGAATTTTTTTACGTCTTACATTATTGGCTTGTTTTTTCAAATCATTCGTATTTTATCTTTGCAGCGTGTCAAATGTTTGCCTTCTTTTTTATTTTTTTAAAATTCTTATCAGATGGGCACTCTATGTAAAGGACGGCACATAACAACAATAAAACATTCACCGAAAGAGAAGATGACAAATGACGACAAAGAAGCGAAAAAACTTGTACTTGTTCAATGACATTCATCTCATATAGAATGCACGGATTAGTATTTGTTTCAGTTTAATCTGAAATGGCTAGGATTGTTCAACATTAGACAATGACTAGCAAGGAGACATTTGATTTCACCTCTATTCGATTAATGATAGTTAACAGAGTACGATTGTTCTAAAAAAAGTTCTCGCATCTCATATCATATTGAAATAAATAGCACTTATATTAGCATGAAAATGAGACAGTTTTTATTTAAGATGATTCAAAGATTGATAATTTTCAGTATTATTTATTTTTCAATGTAAATGGATTTTTTAGAAGATTCGACGTCTCATCTTATTTCTTAACAAAAAAAAAAGAAGGAGAAAAACATTTAGCTTGTTCATTTGAACTTGAACTTCAAAAATATTTACATTCCCAAAGGAATATGTAGAAAGAAATCGATTTAGTTTTTAACAAATTCCTATGAGAAGAATGCAATCTTGACAGTGTGGGTGCGAATGTGGGTGTGCATGTTGGTGAAGAATATACCCACATCCCACACCCCAATGAAAGCAAGAACGAAAGAAACGCGATCTAAATTAAGTTAGATGCTACAAGGGTACAATCAACAGAACTTGAAGAACTACAAGCAAAAGAAAAAGAGAACAACACTGAAGGCCGAAAGCCTGTAACATCCATTCTTTGTGCTTCGTCTACAAGAACAAAAATCTCCGACAGTTTAAGACGAAGCTTCTACTCCAATTTGTTCTTGAGATAAATCATACGATTCATCGCTACCACCTTGAGCATCTTCGTCTTCCGCAGCTTCAGCCTCTGTTTCTTCATGATTGTTTTGACTAGGATCCTTTTTCTTGCAAACTGCAGCTGTTACAGCGCCTACAGTGGCACCAGCTGAGAGTCCCACACCCACGGAAGTTGATGTAGCTACTGCTCCAACAGCTCCAGCAGATTGACACAGAGCGAAAAAACTCCCAGATACTGTCGTTGCTGTTTGCAAGGATGCTGCAGCACTACCAGCTGCCACACCAGCAGATGTGAATCCTGCCACACCTAAAGCAGGTATGATGGTCAATGGAGCTGTTACAGCAGCCGTCGTACCAATGATGCATACTTTTGTCAATGTAGAACTCTCTTTCCACTTGGTTCCAATAGAAGTTGCAGAATTTCTAAAAAAATTTCCAAATCTTCTTGCTTGATCCATATCCAAGGTTTTAGATTTCTTCCTTTGTTGAAGATTTGCGATAGCTTGTGTCCGTACGTCGACTATGATGCCGTTTAGTAAATGCACAGAAATAGAGAATCTACGTTAAATAGCAGTAAAAAATGTAATGATCTAAAACAGAGAAACTTGTCTAAATGTTGTTCCGTTACTTCATTAAAAAAGACACTTTACTACGTTTCTCTATGATTTTTTTAATGGTTTGGGAACGTAAACCAGTGTGTTTAGAAAACTCGTTTTGTTGCAGTTTAAAAAGTGCAATGATATTGTTCATCTACTTACGAACGAGTAATATTGAAGTAAATGATGTTAAACTTTACCACATTAGCGATCGGTTATCTCCTATGTATACTATCATAAAAGATGCGACTAGTTTCTTTCAACTAATATTTGGTTATCTGTAGGCGAGATAAGGATCCTCTCGTTCATTGAAAACGTGAACATGATGCGCAAAGAGGATGCATCATCCCATTGTCTGTATTCAGTTCTCTTACGTACGATCTGTTATGTCAGCAGTCGAGTTTTTCTTGCACGGACCCGTGCCTTGCTGGAATCAAGGAAAACGTGACGAACTCTACAAGATGCACGATTTACTATTTTATCTTCATCGATATAAAAAGAAGAAATACGTTAATTAGGCTATTAGCAATACTACTAATTATTGTCGAAGTTTTTTTAAAATTAGAAATTATTATTTTTTGAATAACTCTCTAGCGTTACAAGCTATTGACCATGAATTTTTACCATTTGATAGAGCAATTTGTGGGACATACAGGACAATGTCGAATCATTACGTTTTTATATTAACTGCGAGTCCTGGTGACAGCCTTTCCAATACTGTATTACTGAATAGTATCTTCTCTTATAATAATAAAAATATACACCTGTCAATGTGATGATGACTTTTTTGACATCGATTCAATATGCTTCAGGATGTATTTGACAAATACC